CAATAAATCAGAAATTAGCCAGGCATGGTGGCACGTGCCTGTAGCTCCAGGTACTTGGAGGGCTGAAATGGAAGGATCGCCTGAGCCGAGCAGGTCGAGGCTGCAGTTGGCCACAGCATGCCATTGCACCAGGCTGAGTGACAGAGTGAGACTCCAACTCAAAAAAAAAAAAAAAGAAGAAGAAGAAGAAGAAAACAGCAGAATCTCAAATGCTCTTGTACAGGGAGATGAAGGCATAAGATGAAAACATTCGTGAACCACCATCTTTGTAGATATATACTGATGCACGAAGCAGGGACACACACCCAGTATACTCAGGAGCCAAGCAGGCATGTAATCTGGACTACAGAAAGACAGCAGGGAGTTGGAAGGACTGTGGGAAGACTGGCAAATACAAGACCCATCCACAAGGAATGATCACTACCCAGAGCCTGGATTTCTGCCTTTAGAAATGTTGGTCCACTCTTGGTAGAGTTTCCAGCTTGAAATCTGAATCTTTATTGAAAACGTAGCCGGGCTCGGTGGCTCAGCCTGTAATCCCGTGCCTTTGGAAGGCTGAGGTGAGTGGATTGCCTGAGCCTGCGGGTTTGAGACCCACCTGGGAGGCGAGACCTCATCTCTACAATAAATCAAAAAATTAGCCGGGCGTGGTAGCGCGTGCCTGTACTTCCAGCTACTTGGAAGGTTGAGGCGGAAGGATCGCCGGAGCCCAGCAGGTCGAGGCTGCAGTGATCGGAAGCGGCCACTGCACTCCAGTCTGGGCGACAGTGAGACTCCAACTCAAAAAAAAAAAAGAAAATGTTTAATTAGCCAGGTATGGTGGCGCGAGCCTGTGGTTCCAGCTACTTGGAAGACTGAGGTGGAAAGATCACCTGAGTCCAGCAGGTCGAGGCTGCAATGACCGTGAGCGTGCCACTACACTCCAGCCTGGGCAACAGAGTGAGACTCCAACTCAAAAAAAAAACAAACCACTTCAGTTGTCCTCATCTACAAAACAAGAATAATGGTACCTACTTCACATGATTGCTGTGATGATTACACAAGTTATAAATGTAAAGCGCTCAGTGCCTGCACATAATAAATGCTCAGTAAGTGTTAGCTGACATTATTTACTAGATGGAAGAATCTTCACCCATCCTGAGTCCCAGACCACATCTAGCTCTTTTTTTGTTTTTTGTTTTTTTAATTGAGTCAGAGTCCCACTCTGTCACCCAGGCTAGAGTGCAGGGGCACTCTCACGGTCATTCCAGTGTTGACCTGCTGGCCTCAGGCAATCCTTCTACCTCAGACTTCCAAATAGCTGGAACTACAGGTGCATGCTACCACACCCAGCTAATTTTTTGATTTACTGCAGAGACAAGGTCTCGCCGAGTTGCCCAGGCTGTTCTCGAACCCGTGGACTCAGGCAATCCCCTCACCTCGGCCTCCCAAAGTGCTGGGATTACAGGCTTGAACCACCACGCCCGGCCACACCTAGCTCCTTTTCCCCATGAGATCCTGCCCCACTTTCCTTTGCTTCTGCATTGTTTGATGATCCATGTCTCTATTGTAGTCCTTTTTACTATGTGTCCCATGCTTATTTTTTTCTGAGTCGGGGTCTCAATCTGTCACCCAGGCTGGAAGACAGTGGCATGATCACAGCTACTGCAGCCTCGACCTTCTGGGCTCAGGTGATCCTTCTGCCTCAGCCTCCCAATTAACTGGGACTACAGGTGCACGCCAAACCTGGTTACTTTTAAAATTTTTGTAGAGACAAGGAATGTTGCCCAGGCTGGTCTCAAACTCTTGGGCTCAAACATTCCTCCCACATCAGCCTCCCAAAGTGCTGAGCCCAGAGTGCTCCCACAGTCGTGAGGCACCATGCCAAGCTTATCCAGTGCTTTTGACTATATTAACATAACATGTCTACTCCATTAGACTTTGCAGGTCATGAAGGACAGGATTGTCTTATTAGGACAGGGGGTGTCTTGTCAGTCTTTGCAGCTTCAGCTCCTAGAACACAGTATTTTCCTTAATAAACAATTCTGCAGAAAATCAATCTGGCTCCACTGGGATACCTGTGATTCCCAAACACACTATGAAGTTTTCTGACTCTGTACCTAAGCACATGCCTTCCCCAGCTCTGCTCCACCATCCTCTTGGTAAATCCATTCTTTTACCTTTTCTTTTCCTTGAGTCAGGGTCCCACTCTGTCGCCCAGGTGGGAGTGCAGTGGTACCATCACAGCTTACGGAAGCCTCAACCTCCTGGGCTCAGGCAATCCTTCTGCCTCAGCCTTCTGAGCAGTAGGGACTACAAGGTGCATGCCACCACGCTCAGTCAATTTTTAAATTTTTTTTTGTAAAGCCGGCCTCGGTGGTTCAGCCTATAATCCAGCGCTTAGGGAGGCTGAGGTGAGTAGATTGCCTGAGCCCACGGGTTTGAGACTCACGTGGGCAACTTGGTAAGACCTCATCTCTACAATAAATCAAAAAATTAGCCGGGTGTGGTAGCACGCACCTGTAATTCCAGCTACTTGGAAGGCTGAGG